CCTGGAGGGACCCCCAGCCCCACGCGAGAGGGCTGGATGGAAGCGGCTGCAGCTCCGTGTGCCTCGCACGTGGCTTCTCCGAGCCCCCCCCGCTCCAGGGACCCTGGGGACAGGATGGAGGTGGGGAAGGAAATATTTTTGCATTATCCCCCCTTCTCGTACGAGTTAATGGCAAAGCGGCGGTGGGACCGTGGCCCCGGGGTGATGGCAACACCTGTGGGACGTGCAGGGGTGACATCAAAGCGGTGACAGTGTCGCTGCCTCCCCCCACTGCGGTTTCTGCAGATTTGACTAACTTTCTCCGCTTGGGGGGCAGGATGGGGGGGAGGCGTGACTCTGCCCGGCCCCGGGGAGCAACGAGGGGGCCCCCGGCACAAAGCCACAGCTGTGGGAAACGGGGCTGAGGGAGGACAGGAGCCCTCTCGTACCCCCCCAGCCCCGCGGTGCCCTCCAGTGCCCAGGGGAGCAGCAATGGGGCTGGTACTGGGGGAACTGGGGGGAGCAGGATGAGACACAGCGCTGGGGGTCTGGGGGGAGCAGTGACAGCCCCAGCTCCGCTCCCAGCTCCTGCCGTCTGGGGCAGAGACAGGAGGGAACAGGGAGCTGCTGTGTGGGTGAGGGGATCCCCAAGCGCTGGGGAGCACCTGGGTTATGTTTGAGGCTGAGGAGCATCACCTCCCACCTGGAGCATCCTCCGTGGCCATGGAGCACCACTTGGAGCCCAGGACTTTCACCCCCAGCCCACCCAGCGGGTGCCGGGGTGGAGGCGTTGCCGCAGGGGCCGGGCTGGAAGTAGATTCTTCTAAAAACAATCATCTGCTGGGACTTTCCTGTCTCCGGCGTGTGACAATTGCCAGCCGCTCCCCGTGTCCTCGATCCCCCGAGGATTTCGCTGCCAGGTGCCGACTCGCTGCCATGCAAATGTGGCTGGAGGGGCTGGAGGGGCCGGTTCGGCGGCTCCCCGGGGGCTTCACTTCCCTCCCGGCGCACTGAGGGGGGCACCAGGCGTGACACAAGGCTGCTGTCCCCGCGGTGGTGGCCCGGTGACAACCACGGCTCGTGCTGCACCCGCGTGTCCCGGTGGGAGCACCGGGGCTGCAGAGCTCCCCGTGGCTGTGCCAGAGCTGGGGGCACTTCCCATGCCCCTTCCCTCCCTCTGCTCACCCCCTGCCCCCCGGATTTGGGAACCCACGCGGAGGGTGGGAAACGCCGCCGGGTCCCGCTGTGACTCAGTGCACGGCCGGGGAATGGGGACACGGAGGAGGTGGTGGCAGTGACTCAGTCCTCCCTGTCCCCTCCCGGCACCGTCGGGTTTTGGGTGCCGGACGGCTCCTCTCGGGAGCAGGAGCCGGCCGGGATGCTCCAGGGATGCAGACCAGCACCCGGAAGAGTTTGATGGGATTTTTTTGTGCGTTAAGAAGCGTGTTTCAACACGACGACAGGAGAAGCGAGTTCCTCTGTGCTCTATCACGATTACAGCTATCAGCAGATAAGGATCTCTCTGTCACAACACCAACTGAAGGTTTCTGTAAGCCTTTAAAGGAGTTTGTCTCCGGGCAGGAGAAGGCTGAGGGGTTTTGGATCAAACCAATTCTTATTAAGGGACAAACCAGGATGGGAAGACTCCTGAGCCCCCTGTGTCTCACCCAACCCTCGGAGTGTCCCGGCAGCAGAAAAGACCCCTCAGTGCTTGTGTCGCACCCGGGCTGGGAAGGAAGTGAAGGGAGAAGAAAAAAAGGATCCTCTGACTTTCTTCTCGGTTTTTTTCGTTTCTGTTTCTCAAGCGTGTCCAGCTCTTGCGGCAGAAGGTGTCGGGGGGAATGAAACAAGCGCGAAGAACGTCAGCCTGGTAAAGCAGGCGCTAAAAGGGCCGGGGGGCTGGTGTGAGCCTCCACCCTCTGCCGCAGGGATGTTTCCACCTGGCTGACACAGCCCCGGCACCCCCAGGAACCACGAGCCCACCCCACAGCCCGAGCGTGGGGCTGAGCTGCCTTCACCCCACAGCTCTCGGCTTAAATCGATCCTCTATTAACCAAAACTGTGTCTAACACCGTTTTCCAGCAGTCAGAGGAGCAGACGATGTTATTTTACACCTCTGACGGTATCAGTTACTCCGCTGATACTCAGCACAGCCTCCACCGTGGCTCAGCACCCCATGGGGACACGGCACAGCCACAGGTGTGCTGCTCACAGCTTCCATCACACCCGCGGCATTTACAGCTCCCAGAGGTGACAGCACCAGCAGCTCCAGCCCCAGCACTCGCTCCCACTCCTCAGCCAGCTCTGCTGGGCACTCCCAGCTCTGTTTTCATGGCTGATAGAGTGGACATTTATTTACTGACATTTTAAAAACTTCAATAAATCTTTAAGCACCAGAAGCTCATTTTGTGGTGCCAAAAGCTCCTTTCCTGAGCCTCCCCTGCCCACTCTTGGGGTGTAATTCATCAGTAAATGAAGAACCAAGCGAGACTGATGCACCAAAGCACTGGAGAATGCTCCAAACCTGTTCCAGACCAAGCCAGGAGCAGAATAAATCAGGCTCCCAACCAGTACCAGTGGTTTTCCTATCTGTTTTCCCAGACAAAGTGGTTTCCAGAGCTCTTCCAAGCTCAGAGACCTGCCCTGGACCAACACAGCCCCTCAACATCCAGGCACTGCCCAGTGGGATTCCCACCTCCCAAGCCAGTGGCAGCTCTGTGGGACAGGGGTGAATGATGGGGTATAAAGGGACAATTAAAGTGTATTCTTAGATGAATCCATTACCCCATCCACTTATGGAAATTAAGATGTTTAGATGGCTCCAGAAGACATCTCTCTGTGGATCCCTTTAAGAACCTGCCTTTGCCTGCCCTCAAGTCAGGACATCGTCATTATTTAAATATTTTATTCATTTATTGACAATTCTTTGGTCTTGAAAACTAAGCCATTGAAAAGCAAGCTTGTCACAAAATGAGAAATTGATAAAGACAACCACAATGTCCTAAAAATGTCGGACTTAAAAACGTCAGGGCAGCAGCGGAACCTTCTTTTTGTCCTCTGGGAATTCTCTCGCTCCCTTCCCCTCCCTTTCCCTCTGTTTTGTGGACCCCAAGGTTTGGCCTTTGGGGCTGATCCCTGATGGAACTGCAGCCTCCCTCACAGGAGGAGCATTGGTCACATTGTGCTCACTGGGGGAGAGCAAACATACACCTTTCTCATGGTGGGGCTCTGGTAAACATCCTAATCCTGCTTTACAGCTCCACACATAACAGTAAAAGAGTTCTCCTCAGGGATAGCAGGATCCTGGATTAGAGCTTCCACAGCACTCTGGATACCCAGGCACACTGCAGGCTGATTTATCCCTCTCCAGACCCACTGTTAGTGGGAAAAATGAACATAAATTTCTTATTTTGTACCTTAACATTCAGGGAGGAAATAAGTGAGCGAAAAGAATTCAGAGGGAGGGATGAATTTCAGTATTTCTTGTCCCTCAGCCCTCCAGCCTTCCCTCAGGGAAGTGATTGGATCACCAAGGATAACACGAAAGCAACACAGCTCTCAAATCACACAAGGGATGCAGAAAGTCCATCAGAACACTCCTAACTACGGGATGCAAAAATACTTTGCAAAGACTAAACCTTCACTCAGCAAAGCCGTTACCAAACCCCTCTCCAGCACAGGGACACCGACACAGCTGCGGGGCCATGGGGAGATTCAAAGAACTGTTGTAAAAACCAGCTTCAAAGGGATGGCACCTGCTCAGGGTGTGGAGCAGCACCTCCCAAGGGCTGCCCCGCTGCAGGTGTGGCTCTCACACACCTGCCTGAGGTCTCACCTGCCCACAGCCAGCCAGGGCCACCCTATGGGGACATGTATGGCATGGCCACATGTCCTGCTGTGGGAACAAGGCAGAGAGGCACAACACACAGCACAGCTTCATCCTCCTTCTTGGCACCCATCAGAAAGGAGGAGTTTCCAGCAATGAAAATTGGGATTTCCCCCAGGCCACATGGATGAGCCAACCAGTGACCTCACTGGGTATCCCAAAAATATGTACTGTTAAAAAAATCTCAACCCCAATTAAGTCTCATTTCTTATTTTTCTCTTACAGAGTAACTTTAAGGAAAGTCAGCAGTGGGTAAGAAAAATGAAAGTGTGCCACACTCTTGTTAGGGCTTGGGGGGAAAGCTTAAAGGAGGAATTAATAATCCCTCCCTTTTCCTGCCTTCGTTTTCCTTGTTTTGGTGATGAGCTACTGGGATTATAACTAGGAAAATCTCCTCCAACACAGCTCTGACTATACACCTGAATGAGCAGGGGAATTGGCATGAAAACCTTTTGTGCTGACTTAAAGCAAACTCTATAAAAACAAACACAAGTTAAAAATTGAAAACATCGTAAATGGCTCTGAAGTTTCACAAAAATAAAGTTCATATCAAACCCCGTCTCTGCTCCTGGTGCTTCCCACAGTCCCACTCACCACAGCAGCCAGGCAGAGATGCTACAGAACACTGAATTATTGGGAAAGACAAATTTAAAAAGGTGTCACCACCTTCTGACACACTTAAAACTGGCCTAGAAAAATACTCAAGAAATTTCATTATACTAATTAAAAACCCAACCAACCAAGCCTCCCCTCCGATGGGGAGCCTTTGACCTTGGAGAACCGGTCCTTTCACTTGAGCACGACTCTGTGCTCTCCCCGAGCTATGTGTGAGGAGAACTCGTAGCGGTCGTGGCTCCGGTAGCCGCAGACGTTGCACTCGAAGGGGTCACGGAAGCCGTGGCAGCCCATGTGGATGGTGAACATGACGTAATCCAGGAAGAGCACGCGGCAGTGGTCACAGCGGTACACCCCGATGGCCTCCCCTTCCTTGTTGATGACCTTGAAGGCGTCGCGCGGGCAGATGGCGGGCGGCTTGATGATGTCGTACGGCCTCGAGAAATCCTTCAGGGCTTGGAGGCCGTTGCGGGTCGGAGCCGGGATCACCTGGCTCTGGTGGAAGGTGGGATTGGGCCTCTCCTCGTGGTTGCTGTCAGTGTCTGTGGAGTCGTGGCCGCTGTTGTTTGGGGAAAGGCCCCTGTCGGATGACAGGCTCTTGTCCCTGAGGAGGCCGTGGCTCTTCTCGCTCTCCGGCGCGGCGCCGTTGGGGACGTCGGCGCGGGGCAGCGGCAGCGGGTACAGGCTGCTGATGACCGGCACCATCTCAGCCGTGGGGGCCGGCGAGGTCTGCACCAGCGGGCGCAGGGCCTCGGCCCCGAGGTAGGTGATGGCATTGTTGATGGCCTGGTCCATCATGCGCCCGTGCATCATCTCGCTCTCCTTTTCGTACAGGAAACTGGAGTTATAATTGACATCGAAGCTGGGCCGTTTCTCTCCTGCAAGAGACGAGAGGTGATAATTACCTGGGTGGGTAAAGAACTGCTTGAACCCCGTGAAGACTTTTCTAAAGGGCAGAAATCTCTGGGAATGGGGCATGATATGTCCTCTGCTGAAAGAGGCTGTTCGTACACATTTGGGTGTTGATTTTTGTTTTTTTCATATTTTTTTAAACCTCAGGCTTAGAAGCAAACCAGTCTGATAGAAGAGGTGGTGAGGCCACCTTTCTGAGAGATTCACCTTTGAAAAGTCCTTGGACACTGAAGTCGGTTTTTCCCCACTGTCCTTTGACAGCTACAGCTTCCTCTGCACCACACCTGAACCTCTACACAGGAATTCAGGTAATCCAATACTGGCAGATATAAATATATCCACAGTTAGGGTCACTTGATACTGGGTTAATGAAAAGAAAAATGTTTTCCTCTGGGTGTGATGTGGTTTGGAAAGCTCTGGACTGCACAGAAGTGGAGGAGAGTGAAATTCTGAAATTCTGCTTACGCCTCTTTGGGCAGCACAGTGCAACTCCAGTTCTCTGTGCCAGCTGCAAGGAGGAAATAAACTGCACCCCAAAAAGCACTAAAAACATTTTGGAGGTGAATGTCTAGAAATAAGTAACTGAATTCTGTGGTTACTAAAACCATCAACTTGTTCATAGCTTAAGAAAAATACAAAAAAAAAGAGCAGATGAAAGGTTTCACGTGCAAGTGACTCGCAAACATTAGATCCACGAATCTCTTAGTTACGGTAACTCGACTGGTGCAGATGTTTATCAGTCACCTGTCAACGCCGTGACTCAATGTGTATGAAACTCGTGGGGTTTCACTGCAAAGGCAGAAAACCAGGAGCTCACGTTTCTCCTCTAAAACACTCCAAGAGGTTAAAGAACCACAAGAGTGTAACTGCTTCCAGCCCACAGCACCACTCGTCCAGCCCCGCATGGAAGGAAACAAAATGCCGCAGTACTTTTGGGTGACTCATAAAACCAGCTTTGGGCAAGTGAAAGATGTGAATAAATTGGAAATTTAAAAAGAAAAAAAACAAACCCAAACCAACAAAAATAGACAAGACTCCCTAAAAGTGTTGGTGTTAAGATTCACTGCTGTAAAGTAAGATAAAAAACCACGATGTATGATCATAGGATTGAGGAATATCCTGAGTTGGAAGGGACCCACCAGGATAATTGGGTCCAAGTCCTGAATGATCACTGAGGGTCTCACAGTGCTCTGTGATTCCACTGTGCTGGTGGATTTTAAGTCCCCCCAGGAAAAGGCTCTGAAAAGGAGCCTGGTGCAGAGGTGAAGAGCCAAGTGCAGGGGCTGATGGTCCCTGCCCTTGTGTGGGACTTTTACTGGTGCACACGAGGCAGCTACTGGGGTTGGAAATGTGAAAAATAAAGTGGGTGAGACTCCTGGTGCTTGTCTGAATCTCTGCAGAGCCCTCCAATTAGAATAAAGGGGTTTTTCTTCCAATCAATGGACTTCATTCAGAGAAAAGAGCCAAACAAAGATGCCTTGTTAGTGTATATCCCTGTCCCTGCTTCCTGGCTAAATGAGATATCAGCACTCATTCCCAGATTTCCCAAGGAATCCCCATGCTGGCCTGGCAGATCTGAGCTCTGACAGGGACAGGTCAGAAAGGCACAGGAGTCAGATCAAGGTCGGACAGCCTGCTCCTGAAAACATCATTCCCAGGGACACAGAGGACTGAGGGGGGAGGATGTAATTATTAAATTACAATTTCACGTGTAATTTAACAAGAAAAATCACAGAAGTCCTAGAAAAACACCAAGTTTCAAAATTTGGTTATTTTGTGCCTTTAGGTGATCTGTGATGGGTTCTCCAGCTTCTCCACACAGTCACCTGTATGTGCAGTGCCAGTTCATGCCATCCAGAACTAGCACAAATCCCAGAGGATCTGGGCCACACAGGAACTCAGTGGCTAACAAAGGAAACCCCAAACCCGCTCATTCTTCACGTTAGGCTCATGCTGAGGGGGTGCATCCTGCTGCAGGCATGTTTAATAAAATACATAAAGGTCAAACTGGTGGTGATTGCACAATGAGAGAGCTGAAAAAAAGCTAAAATAGAGGAAGCTAAAGGATTACAAACCCATTTGCATTAGTATTGCTTTTTGAACCACAGCAAGAAGTGTAAGGGCTGAGCCCCACGGGCCTAGTTTCAATCCTGAGCACCAAAGGCACGCAGATAGAGCGTACTGTGAACACTCAGATGTGTGGCTGTGCAGTGACGTGACTTTTAGAAAGCCACACTGATGTAAAATAAATAAATGAGACCAGTTTTCATAGATGAAAGCCCAGTGCTACCCACCAAACCCACTAAGAGCTCCATTACCTTCAAAAACTGAGTTTTTGAACACATCCTGTATGGATGGATCTCATGGCTCACCTTTACCTGGATGGATCCAGCTGCTCATCTTTACCTGGATGGATCTCACAGCTCACCTTTTCCTGGATGGATCTCACAGCTCACCTTTACCTGGATGGATCCAGCTGTTCACCTTTACCTGGATGGATCCAGCTGTTCACCTTTACCTGGATGGATCCAGGTGCTCACTTTTACCTGGATGGATCCAGCTTTTCACCTTTACCTGGATGGATCCAGCTGTTCACCTTTACCTGGATGGATCCAGCTGCTCACCTTTACCTGGATGGATCTCACAGCTCACCTTTACCTGGATGGATCCAGCTGTTCACCTTTACCTGTCTCTGGACCTCGTGCACCCCGTGCTGGGAGTTTGGCTGCAGCAGCTGTGGGAGCCCTGCCTGCACTCCCAGCCCACATCTCTCCCTCCCACATGGGCTCCACTCAGAGGGTGAACTTTATATTGAGCCATAAAATTAAAAAAAACACCACTTGTTACCTTATATAACCCTACAAAGAGCACAAATAAGGCTTCATCAGCACCAATAATACATAACTGCTGACTAAGGGCTTTCCTGAGGACACAGGGTTGTATTTTATTTTCTCTAAAGGTAGGTTGATGAAATAAGACTGGCCAAGAGGGTCAGGTGTTTGCTGAAACCCAGAACCTGCCCAACTAGTATTTAAGATCCTCAACATGCAAAACTCTGATCATGTACAATTAAATGCAAAGAAAATACTATGGAAACATCTGCTTGCTTAAATTACCACAAGAAAGGATTTGATACTTTTTAACCATAGACAAATTTAGGAGGATGACTAAGAGAAATCCAATACTTTTCTGTCTTTAGGCCTTATTCCACACATGAATCCTGCAGGAATCTTCAGCTCCTGCTGAGAAAACATTAATCTTCCTGTTCTTTGCCTGTTCTAGATCCTAGCAGAGAACATTTCAAATACATAGGTACAGAAATGGCACGTGGAAGCTTATAAAACGTATTTATAAATCACCTAGATAAACACACAAGGCACAACAGTAGCTTTCACCCAGTTTAAACAGCCAACAGAATAAATTGTTTTTATTTTAATCAACCCCTTACAACAAATCACTAAAACCCCATCACAAAAATCAGTGTTACTTTATTCTTTTGTATTAGATGCTAAGCTTGAGCAGGATATTTAAAAGAAGCAGAGGCATTGTACTGTTTGTTACCGACCCACACGTATTTAACTGTTGCAGATGAAAAGGGGTTTTGTTCTTACCAATAAATTTCTGAGGCATTGAGCTTTTTCTCTTTGCCACGTTGCTCGCTAGCCTGTCCAGCACAAGGGCTCTTTCAGTTCCCATCTCTGCCTTGATGTGCCTTGCCTCCACGCTGGCTAGGTTGGAAAATGAAAAAAGGAAGGGAAAAAAAAAAAGAGAAAAAAAAAATACAACACGTAGGTGAAGAGGAAAAATAGAAAGATTAAAAAAAAAAAAAAAGAGCTGACTGGTTTAATCTCCAGTCAGCAACATAACTGGAGGAAACAGTTTGGAGATATAATGCAAAATTGGTTTTGCTTTTTCTGTCATTCCTGCTCTCTGGGCAGCCGTTGTGGTCAGTGGCAGCACAGCCCTGAGCTCACTCAGGGGGAGCACAAACCAGAACAGTCACCAGCCAGAGGAAGTAAATGAACTGGCTGAAAGGTTGGTTAAATTGTAGATGGAGATAGAAGCTCTGCTGGCCTTTCTTTTTTATTCTGAGTAAGGCTGGGTGACACCTGCACACTCAGTGTTTCGAGCTGCAGTAGGAGACACTCAGTGCTCCTGCTTAACTTTTCAGATATCAGTCATAAATGTCTTAACGAATCACTAAGAAACTTGTATGATATATATCAGCGTTCCAGTAAAATAAAAGTAATAAAACCTTTCAAAATTCAAAATTTCTGACTCTTTTTTCCCTAGGTGGTACTATCACTTAATATTTTTTCCAAAATGCTACAGCTCTAATTAATTATTAATTAATTTATTAATTAATAAAATTAATTATGAATGAATGTTTCCTCTGTGTTTTAAAGCTTCTTACAGCCTCCCATATTTCTAATTTTTGGAAAAGTACCTGTGACACTCTTGGGACTGGGCCGGTTAAGGCTCTTTCCATATCCCAGAGATCTCCTCAGATGTGCTGAGCAGTGCCCAGCACTGCACGGGATCTGTGCTTGCTCTCTGCTCCTGGAGGCTGCAGAGGCCTTGAGCTGGAGAGCTGCCACCTCATCTCGCTACTACCACACTAATACTGATCGTAACTGCTGTGGCTTCCCCCCAAACCCTGCTCACACCTCAGCAGCACCCATCTGACCTGGTACTTCTATGTCAGAAATTATAATAAAGAGTAAACTCATTGCTGGGAGTACCAGGGATCACTGTGCTGAGGACTGGACACGTCTTAATGGACTGCCCAAGCCTGTAGGAGTTGGGATCTACAGGCTGAGGACAATGAGGGGTGATTTACTTTCCCAAGGTGGTATGAAAGGTTGGATCTCGCTGTGATAGAGCCCTGGTTGCTGTGTTTCTGTACATACACCAACATAGGTAAACATAGAATCGTGGAAACATGCAATGATTTGAGTTGGAAAAGACCTTGAAGATCATCCAGTGCCTCCCATTGCCATGGGCAGGAACACCTTCCACTCTCCCAAGTTGCTCCAAGCCCCATCCATCCTGGCCTTGGACATTTCCAGGGATGAGACAGTCACAGCCTCTGGGCAACTGTGCCAGGACCTCACCACCCTCCCAGAGAAGAATTTCTTCCTAACATCCCATCCAACCCTGTCCTCTGTCAGTCTAAAACCATTGTCCCTTCTCCTGTCACTCTCTGCATGTAAAAGAAAATCCTTCTGCCTCCTTTTTATAAACCCCTTAAGGCACTGGTAGGCCAAAACGAGATCTCCCTGAATATATGGAGCATAACCTAAGCAGTGCCAGAGGAAAGCGATAGGAACACTTTGATATCACTTAGTCCTGCTAAATACAGATTTATTAAGTATCAGACTTGAACTTCTGTTTGCCCAGTAGAGCAAGTGCTGAAAGTGCAGCTTCATCCTTCCCAGCTCTGTGCAGCCTTTCCCTGAGCGTTTCAGTCCATCCTCTGTACCTGTTTGTCAGTACTGCTCCTGATAACATGAGTTTCAGTCAGCACAAACCATGACTCACCAAACCTCAGCCAGAACTATTTGTTCATGTTTGTTCAGCAGTTTGTAAACGTCAAGTGTTTCAGAGGTTCTTGGTGCCACAAACACCGGCTACAAATATGAGTCAGGGAGGATGGGATAACAGAGCCTGGCTGCACTTGGTCACAGCCCTGGAACCTTGGGATGTACGTGACAGCCAGCCCTGTGCAGGGCATGAAGTGCCTTGAAGGTAATAACACACTGCTCTTCTAGTCTCAGTTTTATTCCAAATTATTCCAGTGTGCTTGGAGGTTCCCATAAATATATTCATCCCTTCTCCCAGCATGAAATACCCAGACACGATGTAAGAGCTGCCCGAAGTGAGACAAAACACCAGGTTAAAGTGACACTTTGAGGGGAAGGGAGAGAGGTAGAGTGTAATCACCTGCTTGGGCTTGGGCCAGTAGCTCTAGTTTGGTTTTGAAAACTATAGGGTTTTTAATTTCAGGACTTCAGTTTAATTCTCATGATCCAAAGCCTGGAATATGCATCTTTATATTAACTTTAGATGACTGTAGTGCAAGGTTTGAACTACCCCCAACCCCAAACCTCATAATCATGGCTGGATCATTGCACAACTCATTAACAATGGTAATCTAAATTTTAAAAACCCCAACAACACTGAACAAAATATGGTGCTGTATATTCAAAAATGTGTTTTTTTCTTTGTAAAGAAAAAAGAAAGAACACATAGTTCACCCATATCATGAGCGCAGCTCCCTGGTCCCTGCCAGCTCTTTGTTTTTCTGATTTTGTTGTTCTAGTTCCTTCTTTTCTTAGTCTTCACCTTCAGGAGTTGCCCTCTGAGGACCCCTGGGTTGCTCTAGTAAAGCTTTAATTCCACATTTTCTGAGGTTTTCCCCTATCCTGGCAGGACCCAGAGCAGGGCTGCTCTCAGCCCTCCCAGCCCCAGGAGCACACTGGAAGCTGCACGTAGCACATCAGGGATGACTTGTCAACGTTATTTATGTGCCACCAAGGGAACTTTAATTGTTAAATTAATGTCAGGAGGGCAGACAAGGGCTTCCTGCAGGGATAACAGAGCCTTTCCTCAGAGGAGATCTGCAGAGACAGTAACTATTGACCTATATAACATGTTCTGGGACTTCTGTAGAATCAATCTCGCAGCTTCATGGTTCTCTGCCCTTTCATTTTAATGCTGAGGGTCTTTGCTTTCACATTTAGATTTTAGACTCCTTGCTACTGGCTATTTTTTCCTAAAGAAAAAATAATCTCTATTTGTGGGCCACAAAAGGTCTTTGATGACATTTTCACAACCCAGCCTTAGGGAAACAGTGTCTGCTCCCAGTAAGATAGAGGTGGTTATACAGGTTCTCACCCACAACACTTCTCTCTGTACGCAGAAACTAACTGGAAATTGTCTCATCCAACTTTTTCTTCTGGATCACATGTTAAATGATCCAAGAATAATATTTAGCATTTAAGAAACTTTTTTTAATCACTCCAAATTCTCTAAAGACTTCTCAAATACAGAGATGTAATCACGCCCTGTGTCCTTTTTCAGTTATCCTCCCTCTGGATGATTCCATTGCACATGATGATTTAAATAACTAATTATGTCACTATAACATGGATCTAAAAATAAAATTCAGGCTGGACTAAGAGAAATGGTCAAGTGCTTTGCTGAAAATTACACTGAGAAAAAAACAAATAGAGAAAATCCAGAGTTCCAATGTACAGCAGCCTGGGATCTTGGGTTATCCTGCCAGCTCAGGTATCTGATGGCTCAGCTGCAGGGTTAGAAAGCAAAAAATCCCTCTGAGGCAGCTGTAAGAAACTCTGCAGCTCCAATAAATCCCCTTGGTTAGATCTGATCAGTGACTCTGGAATTACATGTGAAGTTGAGCTCCTAATTATGGAATTTTATTTGTACACAGATGGGGTTGATCTCACCACTTTTAAAGCTGGGTGTCCCTCTCCTGCTCAGCCAGCACCAGGCTGAGGATGGTCATCCCTCACCCCCACAAGAGGTCTCTCTGCTGCTCCCAGTGCTGCTGCCTGTCTCAGTGTGCATTTCAGGTGTAATCCTGCTTGCACAAAACACTTCCAGAGGATCATTTCCCTGCCACTGTGAATTATCCCTTATGGAGGACTCTTTATGTTGTCTTGTGAGTGCTGGGTGAGGAGCCACCTCTCCAAACAGTCCCTTGGCCATCATGGGTTCACTGCGTGGTTTGGCTTGGGAAGGACCTTAAGGATCACCTTGTACCACCTCCCTGCCGTGGGCAGGGACACCTTCCTCTAGCCCAGCTTTTTCCAAACCCTGTCCAACCTGGCCTAGAACGCTTCCAAGGATGGGACATCCATCTCTGGGCCACCATGTCATCCTGCAGCTGGAGAGAGAGCAGCTGCTGTCCCAGCCCCAAGCACACACCAGCACTGAGCCGTTCCCATAGTGTGGTTTCTGCCACACCAACCAATGTGAGCAGAATTTTTAGTAGAATGTGCAGATATTGTTAGCAAAGCCCTCAAGTACAAAGCTGAAATTAGAAGCATTGCTTCCTGTAGCATCTCTGTGTGGTCACTCGGGAAGGGAGAGTGGAACTGAGCTGGGTGATTTTGCAATGAGAGCAATGTGAGAGATGGTTATCAGGGACAATGCTCCAACTAGATTGTTACATGAAACTTTTAGAAATATTTCCACATTTGGAACATGCAAACATAGCGCTGAAAAGCAACTAGAATGGTTACTACTGTCCTGATGCTTTTAAATATTTTAATCAGTTAGGAATGATGGTGTGTAGAGTACTTTTGTAACTAAAGATGGCTCCATGTGAGAATCCTAAAATTCCAAAAACCAATCATGGAATGGTTTGAGTTGGAAAGGACCTTAAAGGTCAGCCAGTTCCACCCTCCTGCCACCGACTGGGACACTTTCCACCAGACCTGCTTGAGGAGCTTGAGGGGAATCCAGAAAAACACCAAAATTCAAAGTGATGCAAAGAAGTAGGGAAAGGGTCAGTAATGGAAAGAGGATGTTTACCAAACAGAAATGCAAAGTGCTACACTTAGGGAAAAAAAAAAGCCCAGAATGAAGCAAATGACCTCCTGAGAGTCTTTCCAGCTTTCCCTCTCCCTGGTTCTGTCACCCAACATCCTGTTGATTCCAGGGAATTGGATGGAAATGCCCCAGGAATTCCCATTTTTCATAAAATTTCCTACTTCCCTAACAACACCACAGTACATGTAAGGGTGTGAAGGTCTCCAAGGCAGGGGAGCAGCCACCTCTTGGCACACTGGGAATTTACATTCCCTGTGATCAGTTAAGGCTCCCTGCACTGCTGCAGCAAGGACTGCACCACAGGCTTGGGGGAAGGGGGAAATATTGCTATTCTGAAATGCATCTAAACCATGAGAACAGTTTCAAAAGCAGAAACCTGCAGCAGGTCTCATGTTTTCCATTTTCACGGGTGGACATGTTGGGTGATTGCCATGATGTGAGTGTGTACTGTAACACAAACCACAGTTACAATGCGTAAGGGTTCTCACAAAACCCAACATTTGCTGATCAGCTGATAACCAGTTACTTTTAACTAATGCTCTAAGAAATATGTCACTTGCTGACAAAACTATAAAACTATAAAACTATTAAAAAACTCTGTGAAACACTTTGTTAAATCATGGTTCTCTGGGAGGCTTCCTGTGTGTGTCACAAAGCCTGAAACACCAACTTACTCACTCTGCACAACGTAGGGATTCCTGTACCCAAGGTTTTCATCACATACCAATGGCTCTTCACACTGATTTACAGGCCTGGCTTGTGATGATTCCTGCAGAATCTTGTTCTTACTGTTATTGGTAGAGTTATTAGGAGGAAATTCCTCCCTGTGAGGGTGGTCAGGCCCTGGCACAGGGTGCCAAGAGAAGCTGTGGCTGCCCCTGGATCCCTGGAAGTGTCCAAAGCCAGGATGGACAAGGCTTGGAGGAACCTGGCCCAGTGCAAAGTGTCCCTGCTCATGGCAAGGGGGGGCACTGGATGATCTTCAAAGTCCTTTCTAACCCCAACCCGCTGTGATTCCATGTTTCCATTATTTGGTGTTTTATCAAGGCTGCATAGCAAAAGATGGGAGCCTGAATTCTGAAATTGTAGCCTCAGCTCTGCTTAAATCAGTCATAGAATCCCTTGGGAGGCCACAGCAATGCCCTGACTCTGAATGGGAAGAGCAATTTTTTTTCTTGACTTACTGGTGTGCTGTGAGACTCAAATCAGACAGTTCATTTTAGGATTTGAACAGTTCAGGTAAAGCAGAAACAAAGATTATGGTAATTACTTTTCACCAAAGTATTTTGGAACCACAGCACTGAGATTGCCAAATGGAAAATAAGAAAAAAACATGTTTTGATATGTTTCATCTTTTCCAAAGGCAGCTCTATACTCAAAGCAGCCCTTTACCTCTCACTCCCTCCTAAGTTGATCTATCAGTGATTTTTGGGATACCACTGCCTTTTCTTGCCCTGCATCCAGGCCAAACTGCTGCAAATTCTAACAGTTCTTATTCTAAAGAAAAAAATCATCAAACACACCGAGACAGGAACAACAGTTGTCAACAACTCATCCTGTGAAATGACCCACACAACAGCATTAATGTAGGAATAATTTAACTCACTGAGCATCACCTCCAGAAATGCTAGGTACAAGGTATTTTAGATGTTTTACACAAAGTAACTGTTAAAGAAAAAGGTGATTAAAATAAAAGCATTCTCTAACTACCCGCCTGAGGGCTACGATGAACCAGCCCCTTTAGACTGCTGTAGCCCCTCAGGTTACTGAAAGGGAGTGTAGGAAAAGCTGTTCCCAGGCTGTGGGTTAACAGCTCACCAGATGCCCTTTTATAAGCCCTGTAATGTACCAAAACCCCAAAACCACTGTAATGTGATAAACTCACCAGCCTCACACATGCCAGCGTTCTGCAGGTAAGTCCGGCACCGCTCCTTGTGCTCCTCTAATGAGCTCCTCTGCTTGTAGCTCCTTCCACAAAACTCACACTTGTATGGCTTCTCCACTAGAAAAAGAAACAATAAAAGAATTAAAATAACCACAAGGGACCACTAAAACACTGTCTTGCTTGAAGCGTGATGGTTATAGCACTGTACTGGTGGGGGACAGCTCCGCACTGCTGGTCTTGATTAAATCAGAATCTCATTTATCCTTGGCAGATAAGCTCATTTTTGACTTTGATTCTTTGTGAGGTTGAATTTTTTTCTGTACAGTGCAGTGCAGAGATAACATCTATCATTTAGAATCAAGGTTTTCTTTCTGAGCCCATGTAGAACACAGGATACAGACAAATTCAAGGGCAAGCACAACCTGGCTCCTGCAGAACTGAGGCAGCTAAGATGGAGTTATATCTGACTTGATATCCAAGTCACCTCAGCTCTGTGCCTCCATTTCCCCATCTGTGAAATGGACAGAACACCCTACCAGGCTTGAGAAGAAACATTTATTGAGCATTTTAAGAGATCGAGATGAAAGGCACTACACCACAGTCAGGTGGCAATAGTCATCTGCCTGCGATTATGCTCCTGGGATTTTCCTCCTGGGATGGGAGGAAGTCCCAGCAAAGCGTTTCTCACACTGTCCTCAAATTCAGAGCTTGCTGGCACAGCCAGCTCCACTCATATGAAAATGAGCTGACAAGGTGGTGATGAGTCAAAGGTTGGACTTGATGATCTTGGAGGTCTTTTCCAACCAAAATGATTCTGTGATTCTGTGGAAATACCATGGTGTTATTTGTGCAAGCAGGTTTGTGGGCTGTGACGTGGATTCCCGTGGCCCCTCTCTCTGCACCAAGAGCAGAGCCAGTCCCGAGCTGCTTCCAGGAACACCAGTGAGTGGTCACTGCTCTGTGTTGAGCCTTTCACAGGCTGAGCAAACCTTGCTGACTGTAATTTCCACACCGAGTGTCCCAGTGACACACATCCAAAACACATGGAGTGCCTGTGAAGTCACTTACCAGAATGTGTCCTTAAGTGACCCGTAAGCGCATCCCTCCTTTGGCAGGCATAACTGCACAGGTGACACTTAAAAGGTTTTTCCCCTGTGTGTAGTTTAATGTGGCGGAGGAGGTTTCCCTTCTGAGTAAAGGAAGCTCCGCACTGATTACACTGGAATGGCCGTTCACCTTAAAATGACATACAGAAAAGGACATTTAATGGTTACGTGGGTATCATGCTGTCCTCTGCCTTTTGGGAAGAGGAAAGAATGAGATATTGGATCGATTTCTTTCTATAGAAACACACAGAGTGTGACTTCAGTGGGAGGGAGGTGCAGCCCTGTTGTCAGAGCTGCTTGTAACATATGTAGGACTATGGAAAGCACTGCACAGTTCTTCCATGGAAAGAAGCACTCCAGAGGAGGCTGATTCCAACAAGCCAGCAATTTTTAGAAGGGAAAAAAGTCTTATCATACTGCAGGCTGAAACTTAAGATGCTCATTGGTTTGTTGCCAAAGTATGGCACACAGGAAAATTTATACACAGACTGAAAATGGCAGCACAAAACCAAATTAGCTTTTGCTTTGTGCCAGAAATACTGCATTACATAGTGCCTTTCATCCAAAATTCTTAAAATGCCTCACCAACTTGCTTTTAATAATATTCAGTCCCAATAAGAAAGATGGGTAAAGTGAGGCACAGAACAGTGAGTAACTTGATAAAGATCACATGTGGCATCAAGGATGGAACAAGGAAACTCTGATTTTGGTATCCTTTTTTAAAAATAACTAGTCAAGATTAAAAATTATCATCTTTGCAGTACTCAGCTCTTACAAGAACAACAGAGGGATATTTACCAGTGTGGCTACGCTTATGAACCATCAAGACATTGAGGCTAATGCAGGCTAATCCACAGATATCACAATTCATCTTTCCACTAGCTGGCCTGACGTTGTCATATGAACCCGAGTGTCTTTCCAGTTTAATGCTCTCATATTCGTTATATTCTCTGGGATATGTGTAAGGCAGCTCGGATTCTTCCAGGTTTTCCATAGGCTCGGAATTTAAAACACTCTCCTCTCTTTCAGTGTATTCACCTTTCACTTTAATCACATTATCTGCAGGTAAAACAAAGCACAGGAATGAAAAAAGGGTAATCTTATTCACAGTGAAGTACCTTAGGGAAAAAATGCATAAAATTTTATATAAAAAGGCAGTATTAATCTTTCTAAAAGTTTTATTGAAATATACAGATGAAGAAATGGAGATGTAAAACTTCACTGGCCAAGTGCACTTAGTGTTCAGTGAGATAACCCTTGAAAGCAATTAACCTGCCTGGTAATTACCTTTGATGGAGAATTTCCTTCTACAGATTATGAAAGTACAATACAGTACAAACATCTCCTGAGATTACTAGCCAGGATTCAAAAGAAAACATTTTTTCACACCACTCACAATTATTTTTATAGAAATCAAGATTTCAGGTTGTTTCTGTGAATTGGAAATACAGAAAGACACAAATTAAAAAGAGTAATTATATCTTATAACTTATACCTTCTTGTGGAACCTCTGATGCTTGGAACCAGCCCAGGAAATATGTCTGATCAGTGTAGGACTCCCATTTTTCCCATTAATAGATTCTCACCCTAATCAATAATCCTAATTTTCACTTGCAAATCACAATTTTTGTCCATAGCTCTCAGATGTGTGAGGAGCTGTTGATTATCTTGATTAACTATGTGAGTAAAACTAGCAGAGGCAGGGTAAGGGTTTCCTGATAGATAAATGTATCCCAGAAATGCCTGAAGTAATTTTGTGAGGATGTTGCAAAGAGCCTGATGCCTCCTGAAGATCAGCATCCATGGCCTTCAAACAGGTTCCTGGAGCTGTAGTCAGTCCAGAGGAATCCAGAGGCATTGCCTAAATGAATGCAGCTCTGTGACCAAGGTGGATGTAACAGGCAGCTAATGATTTACTAACACAGTAAAAATGCAAGCACACTCTATAAACAGCTGATGATTCCCAACTTAGGGTGATGAATTTCCTTTCCACAATTATCTCCAACACTACCAGCACTTCCATTAAAATCCTTAATAATTACCAGGACAATTATTTTTCTGTTTAAAGCAGACTGAGAAAGTTGGGGCTGTTCAGCCTGGAGAAGAGAAGGTTTTGTGGAGACCTCGCAGCACCTTTCAGTGTCCCAAGGGGTCACAAGGCAGCCAGAGAGGGACAATTCATCATAAGCTGGAGTGACAGGACAAGAGGGGATGGCTTTAAGGTGAAAAAGGGAAAATTGAGGTTGGGTATATGGAAGAAATTCCTGTTTGTGAGGGTGGGAGTCCCTGGCACAGTTGCCCAGAGAAGCTGTGGCTGTTCCTGGATCCCTGGAAGTACCCAAGGCCAGGGTGGATGGGGCTTGGAGCAGCCTGGGAGAGTGGCAGGTGTCCCTGCCCAGGGCAGGGGGTGAGACTGGATGAGCTTTAAGGTCCTTCCAACCGAAGCCATTCCGTGATTCTCTGAGGAGGGACAGACTAAGGTAGAAACTCAAGTCGTGCCTCAAGCTACCCAGTGAAGACAAGTGCCATGAGATGCACCACATGGCTTCCTGTTTGAAAGTCTTGTTCTCTGGCCACCTGCTCCTCCCTCCAGCCGAGGGTTAGACAGTTCAATCCGGCACTGAATCACTTGCCTTTCTCCAAAGTACAGAACATGAACTGCTGAATATGTATTAGCTCTGGTTCTGAGTAATAAACCACATCAAATGCCGAGAACAAACAATGGGTGGCAGTGAAAATGAGGTGGTGACATAAAAGCAACGTTGAAAAAGAAAGATCTGGCAACCTAAACTTTCATGAAATCAAAATTCTCAGCTACATTTTAGGGAGAAAATCACTCCTCTGTCCTAACTGGTTGTATTAAACCCTGCCAAACTGTCTGACTTTGGGCTGAGCTGTGGGAAATAAGAGGGTGATGGTTTCTTTGTCCTACACAAGACTCCACAGTAGTGTGGAAAACTCTGAGATCCCTCTTGTGCTCTCCTTGGGTGGGGATATTGATGGAAGAATGGGGTTTTCTCCCACACTGTGTGTTTTTATCCTCTATCCAGGAAAATATTTCCATTTTGCTATTGGGACTTACAGCCTCCATCCTGGATGAGCTCAAGGGGGTTTAGGTGTTTGCTAAGAGGGTCAGAGGGAGCTCCAGATTCACCCCAAAATGGGCTGTATTCCTTTCTGGATCCTTCACATCCCATGGATCTTCCACAAAAACAAGGCTTCCTCTGCAGGTGCCATCTGCTGCCAACTCCATGTCCAAGGGTATGAGGGTGATCTTGCTATCAAGACTCCTTCAAAATTAGTTTATACAACCATTTCCATCATTCCAAAGAAAAAAAGATTGCCAGTTGCTGAAAGCAGATTTCAACACCCATCCTTTTTCCAGAAAAAAAAAAAAAAGCAGCTTTTTTGGTTGGTTGGTTGGTTGTTTTTTTCCCCTCTCAAAAGGAAGCCGTTCCAAAATAATTTGCTACATCCTGCCCAGCATGGTAAAAGGAAGTACCCAGTGCAGCTGCACCTTGTTGGTGCTTTCAGAAACAATTTCAATTCCCACTTTCTACTTAACGTCTCACCTTTTGTCTGCATCACACGCTGTTGTTCAGCAGTGGAGGCCGAGCTGTGACCTCCAATGGAGGATTCTGTGACTTTTGCTGCTCTTTCTCACAGTTCTTGGCTCACAGCTCCAGAGCTGTACCAGGGTCTGTGTGGCATGGTGTGGGTGCTGGTTTGAGCCCCCCATGACACATCCTTGGGGACCGGTGCAGACTGGGAAAATCAGCTTGATTCCACCATGGAAAATAATGAGCTCTGCAGTTTCAATACTGCACGTAAAGCTGGTGCTTCCTTGTAGTAACACAGGAGGATGCACCTGAGTTTTGATCAAGGCTTTTCCATCACTGCCTCTGCAAAAAATGGGGGCTTGTTGAGGCTGTCCATGGCAGTGTTTTCCTGTAGGTATTTAAAGGATTTCCACAGAAAAATTCACCTTCTGATGATTTGGACCAGGAGAAGGGAAGAGGCTTTTTTGATTCAAATTAGAAGGGTTGGGATTTTTTCACCTGTTATGGTTTAGAAGCTGTTTCACTTCCTGACAGCCAGACAGGAGACAGCTTTTGTGCAAAGCAGTCTGAGGAAAAAATGGCTTGGTATAGTTTGAACTAAAATTAACTGTGATTGCAGAGTCTGGAGCCACCAGATTACTTTTTCAGTCCTGACTTTTCTCTGTACTGGCATGTACAGGGAATACCATGTGATCAGGAGATTGGCAGCTGTGTGGAAGGTTTGTATCTGTCACTTAAAAATCATATCAACATATTTTATTAGATCAGGGAGTTTCCAGGCTGGTCTGCCTTAATCAAAAGGAAGGAAGCTGTGACTTCATGTAGAATAGGGAAATTTAACTGAAGAAAAACACAATTATCCCTAAAAACACTAACAAAGTTCCCACAGTGGTAAAAATAAGTGCTATCATGTCTTCTATTAGGCAAGTAAAGAGGTTGTAAGAGAAAAAAAAGCATTCATGGAGTCCAAGCCAGGGAGCTATTTTTCTTGAGGCAGTTAATAGAGTTAATATACACAGAGAAAAAAAAGCTGCAGCTTTTAAAGAACAAAGTGCTGGTGTGATGCGTTAGGGCTGATGCACATGGTTTCATTTCCTGGGGAGATGATTACAAGATGAAAGACATACTCCAGAGTAATATTTTTGTTTCACCTGAAACACTGTAAAAACAATGGGTTCTGGAAAAAATCCAAAATAAAGATGTGGTGGCAATTTCAGACTGAGTCACCACCCAAACAGTGCTTGTGTGTGCTCTATAAAATGATAGAATCACAAAGGGTTTGTGTTGGAAGGACATTAAAGCTCATCCAGTCCCACCTCCTGCCCTGGGCAGGGACACCTTCCACTCTCCCAGGTTGGTCCAAGCCCTGGCCAGCCTGGCCTTGGACACTCCCAGGGGTGGGGCAGCCACAGCTGCTCTGTCCCAGAGCCTCCTCACTCTCACAAGAGGGGTTTCTCTCATATATCCAGCAAGAATTTCCCATTTTTCAGCTTAAATCCATTCCCCCTTGTCCTGTCACTCCTGTTCCTGATGCAGAGGCCCTCTCTGCTTCTTTTTAGGTCCCTTCAGATACCGGATGGCTACTCTGACATCGCCACACAACCTCTCTTCTCCAGGCTGAAAATGCAGAAATAAAAAAGTCAAGAAAGCCAAATAATTATGGCAAGTTGAAGGGTTTCTGTTTCTTAGATGTTTTCTCTAGAAAGGTGTTTCAGAAGGAAAACTCCTCAAATTCTCCATTTCATCTTGGACTCTGGCATCAAACACAGAAGAGAAAATATAAGTTTTGTCCTGTTGTTAAGCAAAGTTTATCAGGAGTGATCAGAAGAGCACAAGGAATAAAACCCAGAAGCCATTAAAGACAACGGCAGGAAAGGGTGATGTAGCTCAAGTGTTTTACAAGGAGTGGGGTCATAATCGTGAAATCCTCAGCACATGCAAAAAGTCAACTGGGTAACAAAGAAACTTAATCATCTTAATGTGGCATTTTAATGATGCTGCTGATTTGCTGTGCCAATTCAGAGATAATGAGCCCCTAATGCTACAGATGTTCAGCCAGACTAAAGGGAAAAAAAAAAGGAAAAAGGAAAGCTTTTCTTGTATGCCATTTCCTAACTATCCAATTAAACAAATTGTGAAAGCATATAAATAGTTTACCAGATTTTGACAGCTGTTAATGGGATTCAGATGCTGAGGAACAAGAAGGGAGTCGATACGGGCCATATTGGAGGGTTCTTGTGACTACCTGGGTTTGACAGGTATTAACTGATGATTCATCACCGTTATCCCCACAAAACCCTACAGACACATGCCAGAGCTGCTCCCCGCCCAGATTGAGAGACTCCTGTACCTAACCCAGCCTGAGACAGAGTGGTGAAGCTGAAAAAGTCAGCGGGGTTTCCAAATTCAAGGCAGATTCCTGCATGTTTGTGAGAAACACCTCAGCGATGCAATCAACACACTGGGGGCAAAGATAAGCCATGAATAAAATATTTCCAC